CCTTGTATCTGTGACTTTCCTTCCCTCCATTTATTACGGTGACATTATTTATATGAACGCTCCTACAAGAGCCCTGCAGATGTTGGATGCTGCAGATGTTGGATGCTGCAGATGTTGGATGCTGTCTATCATGGTGCACTAAGATTCATAACTGGCTGTGATTATCGTACCCACCACTGCACCCAGTATTCACTGGTTAACTGGTCACCATTAACTTCACACAGACTCTCTCACTGGTACATTTTCATCTTTAAATCACTTCCTGGTCTGCTGCCTTCATACATCTCCTCCTACATGTTTCTGTGTGAGTGCAACTACAGTGTGCGCTCTCAGGACATTATTACCTGCAGTGTTCCCTCAGTGAGGACTGAATTAGACAAAAGGGCCTTCTCCTACTCCGCTCCTGTTTCCTGGAATATCTTACAAAAAGATTAGAAGCTCTCGACCTTTGACCTCTCTAAGTGGCTTTAAGAATCTGTTGGACTCCTGGCAGGGACCGATGCAGACATGTTCCTGTTTATAGTTTCTACATTCGCCTTAGAATCTTGCTTTTTTTTTTTTTGTTGTTACCTTTTCCTTTTAGCCATCCTATTTGTAAAAAAAAAAAAAAAAAAAACCCTGCAGTATGACTTTTTACAACTGTTTATTGTTGTTGCTGTTGTCCATTGTTGTCATCTTTCTTTGTTGAAATCAGGTCTCTCTTGTAAATGAGTCTTCGAGGCTCAATGGGATTTACCGTCTAAATAAAGGTTGAATGAAAAAAATTCTGAGTCGTCGCTATGGAAAAGGGGCTATAGATCAGGACCACTGGTCAGCTTCTTCAGGTCCACCAGTAATAGTCCTGAAGTCCCTGAGTCCATTAGTCTGCGTCCTGTGGTGTTGGAAGAACGTCTTTAGTCTAGAAGGTTTTTGGACCCAGATGTTCAGAACTGAATATTTTTGGATTCAGATGTTCAGAACTTCTCTGCTTCCTGCAGATTGTGGGGAACTTGGTCTACTATCGCTACATGAACCCGGCCATCGTGGCTCCGGACGTGTTTGACGTGGTGGATCGCTCGGCAGGCTCTACCCTGCAGCCGGAGCAGCGCCACCTCCTGGGCTCCATCTCTCGCCTCCTGCAGCACGCCGCCGCTAACAAGAGCCTGCACGGAGATGGGTACCAGGTCCAGGCCCTGAACCAGTACATCGGTCAGATGCACAGCAAGTTCAGGTATCTGCAGCTGGTCTGTTCAAACCTGTGACAATGTCTGACGTCACGTTGGGTTCTGCTAATTGTTCTGGATGTTCTGCTGGTCAGGAGGTTCTTGCAGTCTGTCTGTGATGTCCCAGAACCGGAGGACAAGTTCTGCATGGACAAGTTCTCAGAGCTGCTGATTGTCAACAGACCCGTCATCTACATCTCTGTCAGCGATCTGCTCAACGTGCACCAGGTGAGACAGAACCATCCAGAACTTCAGCTGGACCTTTACCAGAACACCATCTCACCTGACATCTCACCCGCAGGGTCCCATTTAGGACCTGTATGACAGAATGACAACCTTCTGCTACATCACTGGTCCTGAAAGGTTCTGCATCTCTGATCCACTCAGAACCAACAAGAACTGAGTTTGGAAAATCCAAAAAAGTTCAATCTGGTCGTCTGGACAAGAGGACCAGATTGAACTTTTTTGGATTTTTCTACCTGGATTATTGAGCATGCATCAGGATGAGTTTGGAAAAGTTTTCACTTTGGAGAACGTTTTTACAAACATCAGCTGTTGTTGGTCTCAAACTGTGAACAAGACAAACGGATGTCTTTGAACGAAATGTAATGAAGCAGGCTGCCTTCTGTTGGTTCTGATGGGCCTTCAGTTCAGTCCAGTGGTTCTGAAGGGAATCCTGGCTGTCCCAACCTTGTTGTATTTTTACTTTTATTGAACCATGAAGCCTTTTGGACTTCAGTTGTTTTTACATTTGTTCACTAAATTCATTTGGACCTGGATTAGTTCTGATGGAACCCCAAAACCAGAACAGAAGGTCCAGCTGTTCTGACGAGACACATTTAGACTGAACATCTGTGTATTTGTGTGTTTGCAGTTGTTGTTCGAGCACCAGGATGTTGTGTGTCCAGACCCATCAGACCTACTGAGACTGATTCTGGAGGACCTCGGACCGGTATCGACACTGCAGGAGCTAATAGGTACTTGTTGATTGTTTGGTATTGTTTAGAAGACTTGTAGACGGGCTGCTGTGGCTGATTCACTTCCGGCAGGCTGATGGACGGCAGCTCCCCCCGGCTTCTCTGCAGTCTTTCATCATCAAACTGACCCGTTTTTCAAACCGGACTAAAGTTGGTCCCCCTTCCAACCGAATTCCGTGTTCAGTGACTCAGAGAGCTGGACGGGACCGTCCAAAAAATATATTTTAGTCTAGGACCGGCCGCTCCCACCCCACTGGTCACTCTGAGCGCACCCTGCCGGCCAGGTGACCCCTCGAGCTGGGGAGTCGTCGCACGAAGGTCCAGTGTTTTTCTCTCTCTCCTGGACCCCAACAAACTTATCATCTGGACCTTTGCGGTTCTTCCTGGTTCCAACAAGAATCGCCGGGTGGTATTTCGCTGGTTTTCTGCTGGACTGGCTCTTGTGGTGTCTTCATTGGTGTGGGGGAAGTGTAAATGAAATGTCCCCCGAACTGGACCAGAACCGAACCGAGTTGGCTGAGGGGGACTTCGTCTTCAACGGAGCCGGTCTCAGCTTCAGTGAGCAGCCCGTTACTTTTAACGAAGGACGGTCCACCTCCGTGGAGTCGCTGTGTTCGCCTGGAGGAGACGCTCCAATGCTTTGAAGCGCCGCTGGAACCGGACCGGAGCAGAACCGGGCTAGGGACAACTTCAGCCTCTTCGCCTCTAGTGCTGTGTAGCGCCGGAGCCGGACTGGAGCAGAACCGGACCGGACCAGTGACGACTTCAGCCTCAGCCTCTCCGGTCAGTCTCGTAGTTTTCACCGGGGGTGCCTCTCATGCTGTCGGGTGCGGAGGTGACATGCAGAGAAGCGGAGGAGCAGCGTGGAGGAGCAGGGCTGCATGGTGCTCGAGAGAAGTTCGGAGTTTACATTGGAGTTGCTGCAGGCCTCCATCCAAACTCACCTGGATATTAATTATTTTATTCCGATCATGCTGTTGTCTCCTGTTGACCTGAAACGAGCTAGGATCATGCCTTTCACTTCAGGAGGATTTTCTGGCAGCTCGCTCTGCTATTTGCTGCAAATGATCTGTTTCTGTTTCTGCCTGTTGATTCTGGACCCAGCTTCTGTTTCCCATGGGAGCATCTATCCGTCTTCGTAGAGGGACCGGAGCCCCCCTCAGCCCAACTCAAACTGCAGTTGGGCCACCTCGTCGGGTTTGTTTGTCCATTTGAACTGTGATGTTTTATGGTCTGAAACTTTTCTGCATCGTTCATATTATTGTCACTATTTTCAGATCTCAGATTATCTGGAGTCACTGAATCTTGTTAATACACCTGAATCTGCCCATCACTGCAACTTTCACTGTTTTTAGGTTCTGAATGATCACATCTTCATTAATGTTTCTCATGGTTCGATTATGGGGGCTAATTGTCACACTGTTAACTCCTGTAATTACACGTCAGCCACAAAAAACTCAAGAAAATGTCTGATAATAATGTTGTTACTGCTCTCAGGGATTCAGCCCAACCCTGGACCCCCCACTATTTATGACACCAAATGACTTTAAGAACGTGTCTGGGCTTCATTTTCTGCATGTAAACGCTCGTAGCCTTCTGAGAAAACTTGATGCCTTGAAAATTCTGGTCAGTTCTTCTGGGGCAGATGTAATCTTCATCTCTGAAACCTGGCTCAACAAATCTGTACTCAATAATGACCTGACAATCAATGGATTTAACATTTACCGCTGTGATTGTCAAAAAAAAAATGGGGGGGGGGGGTCGCTGTTTACATCAGAGATTCTCTGGTTTCTAGTCTTGTGTCTTCTAAAACAATTCCAAACCAAATTGATGCCTTAGCTGTAAACATCATTTTGAATGGAGGCCAGATCTTATCTGTAGTCTGCTGTTACCGTCCACCTTCAGCAACACCTGAGGCTCTGCCCTTCCTGATGGAATTCCTTGGTAATTTAAAATTCAAAGAGATTTTTTTTGGCAGGAGATTAGGGCTGGGTATCTTTCTAAAAACATCGGTATCGGTACCAGTGTCAGTACCTTCACTTCATTGTCAGTTCCTATACAGTTCTTTCTTCTGTACCAATTTTGTAATTAATATTAATTCTAACAAGAATAAAATTATGTTACACATTACAGTACAAATTGTGAATTTTATTTTTTAACTTTGGTATTTTTCTATTCCAAGCAGTTTTCTTACATAAAAATAAACAAATAATTTCCAGTTCAAAGATCAGTTTCAAACCAGTGACACGTCAGTGTCTAATGCTCACTGCTACACACTGAGGACCTTTTCACGAAACAGTTTTTCTTCAGAAACATCAACATGTCTGTTTTCTCTGGACACAAACCAGCTGCTCCTGGCTGATGGTGTCTCCAGCAGTAGATGTTCACTCTGAGGCTGTAGATGATGCTTGTTGCACACATAGATACCTGGTTGTCAGTTTGATATATTTTCCCTCACATTCCACCAGCAGGTCACTGGATTCAATGAGGTTAGGGTTGATGCAGACTTCTGCACCTCTGTCCCTCTTCTTGAATCTTCTCTGTGGTTCTCTGGGGTTCAGGGCTCTGATCATCTCCCTAATTGACATGAGAACAAAACATCAACAATCAATCAACCTTTATTTAGACGGTAAATCCCATTGAGCCTCGAGGACTAATTTACAAGAGAGACCTGATTTCAGCAAAGAAAGATGACAACAATGGACAACAGCAACAACAATAAGCAGTTATAAAAACTTTTTTGTTTTTTTTTAACAAATAGGATGGCTAAAAGGAAAAAGGTAACAAAACAAAAAACAGCTAGATTCCAAGACAAATGTAGAAAACTAAAAACAGGAACATGTCTGCATTGGACCCTGCCAGGAGTCCAACAGATTCTTAAAGCCACTTAGAGAGGTCAAAGGTCAAGAGCTTCAAATCTTTTTGTAAGATATTCCAGGAAACAGGAGCGGAGTAACCAACAATAACATGGTTGTGTTATTATTGCTCAAAAAACATTATCTAGGCTGAGAGATACTGGTTTAACTGGTCAACAAAATCTTTTACTGCTTAACTTACCTCCAACATGCAGCTCCACTGTAGAAAATACAGCAAACTTTTAACAACAAAGTCTGTGATTGTCCTGTGGCCTCCACCTCGCTTTTATGTCTGTCCTCACATCTGGGTCAGAACCTCCTGTGAGGAGAACATTAACATAGACAGTGAACTTCAGGTGAACTGTTTAAGCAGCTGACTGGATAAATGAGCAGCTTTACAAGCTAAGATTTATCTGTTACTGTCAATCTTTAGTTAGCTTCTGAGTTTAGCTAGGTACGTAGATAAAATAAATGTACACACTAATATCTTAAAGTGACCCTACTAGGGGCATGAAGCCCCTGACAGCATAGCTCCTAGGATCACTGGGACACTCAAACCCCTCCACCATAGTAAGGTGGCAGCCCAGGGAGGGGTCAACATCTACATGAATATTGAAATCACCCATTATTATGACTTTATCAGTATTTAGTAATAAGTCTGTTAATAATTCTGAGAATTCAGACAAAAACTGAGAGTAAGCGCCTGGTGGACGATATATAACAACTAGTAAAAGTGTCTTTTCTGATTTCCATTTTGGATGAGAAAGACTGAGGGACAGTGATTCAAAAGAATCATAACTAATAACTGGTTTGGCATTAATCAATAAAAGACTACTTTAACCAATCATTCATTCAACCTTTATTTATACAGGTAAATCCCATTGAGCCTCGAGGACTCATTTACAAGAGAGACCTGATTTAACAAAGAATCATGACAACAATGGACAACAGCGACAACAATAGACAGTTATAAAAAGGCATACAGATTATTATTGGGTTTTTTTTTTTACAAATAAGATGGCAAAAAAAACAACAAAAACAGCTAGATTATAAGGTGAATGTAGAAAACTAAAAACAGGAACATGTCTGCATTGGTCCCTGCCAGGAGTGCAACAGCTTCTTAAAGCCACTTAGAGAGGTCAAAGGTCGAGAGCTTCAGATGTTTTTACAAGATATTCCAGGAAACAGGAGCGGAGTAGGAGAAGGCCCTTTTGTCTAGTTCAGTCCTCACTGAGGGAACACTGCAGGTAATGATGTCCTGAGAGCGCACGCTGTAGCTGCACTCACACAGAGACATGTAGGAGGAGATGTATGAAGGCAGCAGACCAAGAAGTGATTTAAAGATGAAAATGTACCAGTGGGAGAGTCTGTGTGAAGTTAATGGTGACCAGTTAACCAGTGGATACTGGGTGCAGTGGTGCGTACGGTAGTTACAGCCAGTTATGAATCTTAGTGCACCGTGATAGACAGCATCCAACATCTGCAGCATCCAACATCTGCAGCATCCAACATCTGCAGGGTTCTTGTAGGAGCGTTCATGTAAATAATGTCACCGTGATCAATGGAGGGAAGGAAAGTCACAGATACAAGGTGTTTCCTAACATTCAGAGTTAGACAGGATCTGTTTCTGAAAAAGAAACCCAGTTTAACTTTCAGTTTCTTTACCAAGTTTTCCACATGGAGCTTAAAAGAGAGATGTGAGTCGACCAAGATACACAAATATTTATAGGAATCAACAAAATCAATAGGGACACCATTTGAGAATAAAATCGGAGGAAGAACTGCTGGGACCGACTTCCTGTTTGAAAAATGCATCCTTTTGGTTTTGTCAACATTTTGGACAAGTTTGAGGTGGAACAAATCTCACAGCATGTTGTTGAACACAGATTTCAAAAGGTGGAAAGCCTTTTCAACTGTTTTAGCTCGACAATAAACAACTGTGTCATCAGCATAGAAATGTAAGGATGCATCAGGGATGCTGTGACCTACATTGCTTATGTAGATTGTAAAGAGGGTGTGTCCTAAGACTGAGCCTTGTGGTACACCATTGTTGACTGTTAAATAACTGGAGGAAGTACCATTATTTTGAACACATTGCCTCCGGTCTGAGAGATAGTTAGAGAACCAACCAATAGTGTGTTCTGA